GCACTTTCGAAACTACTCATTCTGCCAAATACAGCGATCAAGACTCAAGGTTCTTTAAGGTCAGTTGATGTAGTACACTTTGCGTTGCGTTCCTTTTGGGACACGAGATTTAGTGTCCATTTGCACAAGCCTAAGGAGGCTGGTTACCTAGTTACCGCAATCGACCAACTCGGCAAGGTTTATTTGATTCAGCAATGAGAGCATATTATAGGCCTTGTTCCTGAAGAGCTTTTTTTAAGAAGACGAGTATAACTTTCGACAACTGGAGCTTCGTTCGGGATTTTGCGAGCACTTTTGCCGACAGGGCAAAGCCTGCTAATTACACTCTAATGCTGTATAGTACTAAATCATATGTTTCCATGTTTGTTACTATTAGAAGATCGTCTTCACAGGTGTTGTTATTTCTTCAAATGAGAAAGAGTTGCCAGAGGGAAAAGCTTGTTAAAGTCGTTATCTGCCGCAGCTATGAAATTCCGTGTCCGTTTAATTGTTGTTACATCTATAAATCAACCACCCAAAAAGAAAGAACGGGCAAAAAGGGAAGTCAGGGGGTTGCGCCCTAGTCGATCGACCTACTTATGCTAGTCAAACTAGATCGCGATTTAACCGGTCTCCCATGGCTTGCATTGCGCTTGAACTAGATTGATGCTTCTTCTTCGGGGGGATTCGAATATATTTATGGACATATAAACAAGGAGGGCGCGAAAACATTATGTTACATTCTGTGTGGTTATGTGCTTATCACTTCCATAGCGTAGCTGACCGTGCGATGTCGAACATGACGTAAGAACTTCCTTTTAAGCTATTAAATCGTAGCACAAGTGAAAACAGTTTTTCGTCTTGCCTTTCCCTTTTATCTTTCCACCGTTCTATTTCCTCTTATATACTACTTGAATGAGCCCTCTCTTTGTTATAAGCTCATTATACTTTACTTACAGAGAACGTAACTTCACAGCAGATTTAGGCCAGATAGGTAGATGCTCCTGGTTAAAAAAAAAGTATATTTTCAGCGTCTTCTCTATTTCGCTTTGTACCGATATCAAACAGCTGCCGAAATGGTCCGAGATATTTAGGTCGTGTACGGTATGGGCTCCATGCGAAAAGGATTGCTTAAAACCATCTAAAAGGTTCAATTTCAGAGTGTCAACCTGGAATTGGAAGATACACCCAGCTCCGATCTACAATTTGAGGTTAATGGGAATCGCTTGGAAGCGCTTTTAAAAGAAGACAGCTCGTAGCTGGAACGATGAAATATAGCCATATGACGATCAATATGCACCTTGAATATATGCAATTCCTTCAAATCGGGGACCTATGTGCCCTATAACCTGAGCGAGCAGCGCAAAAAATACGATTCGGCATTGTTTCAAAACGTCTCGCTTAGCGCCGCGGAACCAAATGGAAGCTTTCTGCACAGAGTTGTTACAAGTAATAAGCAGCGGTATTTCCACTGTTATGATGCGAAGAAGGTATAAGAGTGGTTCGTTTCTAAGGATACGCATAAGCCCACAGTTAAATTAGATCTACATTGGTGGGATTGTAAAGGCCTGACACACTTGGAAATGTCTGAGGAGAAGAAAATGGTCAACGACGACATGTGTATGGCCCAGTTGCATCGGACGAATCAGGTAACCCAACAGAAAAAGATCCGATAAAAGAAGCAATTCTATCTTTCTTCAGGACAACGCTGGGCCGCACACAGTAAAGACTATAAAAGCAGCTTTCAAGACCAAGCTTATTTGTTTCTACCATATCCTCCAGACTTCGTGCCGGCGTATTCCCATATTCTTTGACCACTGACAAATGAAAATAGGATCCGCAAATTCGATAATGAATAGGATCTCATGGGCTGACCACACGGAGTCTTTAACATCAGAGTTCAAAATTTCTAATCGAAAAGAATAAATAAATCGTTCGAGATATGAATTAAAGGGAATGATGGCAAATACAAAATAAATACATTTATTGCTAGAAGTTGATAAAGAGACGCTGCGTTTTTTGCTCTGTAAAAAAACCTTTACTTTAAACCAGCTCAAAAAAACATCGTACCTATTTGGTGGTTGTCGGTAACGGAAAAAAGTTGATACATCAGCTCAAATCAGCTATGCACTTAGATTAGGCGAGAAACAGCAAATTTTCACACGCACTGCATCTGTTATACTTGTCAATGTTAAAGAAACAGGAGTCTTCATATTAAAGAAAGGCTGACCTCTTTTCAAATTGAGATCTAACTATTTACCTATCGCAATTTTTTTTATTTTAGAATGGCTTTTACCATTGTTATATTGCACATTTCTGATGTCATTGACCGTGGTAAGTTGCTGTATGTTGGTAGTACAGCCCTTGTTTTGTCATTCTACTGGACGAAAATATGTTTCAAGAACGCGCACGAATCGGTGCTACTGCTGCTTTATTAGGTCTTGTCCTGTGCATCGTTAGAAACGCTTACAGCTCTAACCAATAACCTGCAACTTATGAGCCCAGCTTCTAGCTGCGTGCGCCCCTTTTTTAAGCTTTGTAGGCATTCAGAGTCCAACGCAAAAAACCGTATAGTCCCCATGTTAATTATCTCTTTGGGTCTAGGTTTTTCTATATCTGACCCACTTAATTAACGTAAAGACAAAACGTACATACTAATTATTACCATGTAACGACATCTGCTAGCCAAATAGATCGAAAAGCTTTTCATAAACATTTTCAGCTGTGTTACTTCGGTACTTTTCCTGCGACAAATTTTGGCACGAACTATCGAATGCGAAGCGAAATCTCAGCAATTCTATATTCATTGTGCCATATCCTAACCATTATGTTTACTTTTCCCTTTTAGCTGTTGATTTGGCTCCCTTGTTTTTGTTTGTATTCCATTATTTCTAATTTCGGAAATTTTAATCTTTGATTAACTTTCAAGTTTACAAACAATTTACATTTAACGTTAACCATAAGCTTCATGCATCGAATCAGTAACACGGCCCGTTAGTTCCATCAAACTCACTTTAAATTCTTAAAATTTAAAACTATATTACGAAATATCGTACTTTTGTAATTCAATTAATATACCTTATATCCTCAGTACATAAAACCATTTCAGTCATTTTCTACATGATCTAATTATGACATTTTTATGCTTATACCAACTGTTTGTTAACCTGCTAAAATTTTGCTAACCTGCTAAAAAGTTTGCTATAAATAGCTGCTGCTAATATATAAGGGCTCCACTTATTTATGACGACCGTGCACAATTTGCTCTGGCATCTTCCTGTTATTCTCACTAATTTACCTTCCATTTTAATCGAACTTCTTTTCACTTACATAATGCGTAGATAAATTAGGGTGCGCAAACACAGTCAAACCAGTTAAATGAGGGGGAGGGGGGAACCTTGTCTTTAGGTTTTCTTTATTGTCGCTTCGTTTGTATTAAAGGTACTGATCCATTGTTTTGCCCCGATATTCTTCTAGATGTGACGCGTATTAGTTTTACCGGCGAATTATAGAAATTTTATGGGGTTTCAAATCATTGAGTACTGTTTTGAAATTTATATATTTATAATTACCTCATTCATTAAATGGGCAGTAGTTTCACTTCCAGTTTTATAGTAGTTTAATTATTTTGAAATACATACCTTGACAAGCAGAGAGGCACTGAGCGCATTTAACAATGTTATCCATTAGGTTTCTTCGACGTATAATGGTAACTATAAGACACTGAAATTAGGGCAAATATTTGGGGCATAGATGCTGTTTGATATCTGATTGTACCAATGCATCTTATGGAATGAGAGTCCAGATCATTGTTTTCAGACACGTGAAGACGCCTTTGAAAAAGTAGGCGTACAATATCAGCCAAGGAATGGGGCTCACTACAACGACGAGGACAACTTTTGCTGGTGAACGAACGACTTGGATAGCTTGACTGATTTGAATCGTATCCAATTAGGAGCTCGGAAAATGACACACACCCAAATATATATATATATATATATATATATAAGGTGAATTTATGTAACATGATAGTAAATTTATAGTAAACTATTTCTATCTACTTATTATTACTGTATCCTGTATGCAGAACGTACGTGTATTAAATTTATGTGGATAGCCAATGTATAACACACCAACTAAAACAAATGCTACCTTAGGTATCTCCCTAAAATAATTAGCTTCTGAATAATATAAAGAAAGCACACGAGGATGAATTACTACTTCTGCTGTCCTATCATATTAGCAATCATATAATGCACGATTTCGTTTACAAAAGAATCGCACGCTTACCGGCTAACACAAATCCTCTCATCAGAAAACAGTTTGGTGCTATCCAAACGACCATACCAATATCCAGAACATCTCGGCTCAGTTTCAAGAGTTGACAATCCTAATAGGAGTGTTGCGTAGTTTTCTTTATATAGCATAGGAGACATTGAAAGTTCTTAGCTTTTCCTGCATGGTAGTCACAATTGCCGTCGCCCTTCGCCCCCTCCCCCCCCTCATTATGCATGAACTCCGCGTACCTCCATTTCGACGGCGTGCTCTCTGCTAAGAGGCTTCTCGCTACTTGATCCAACAATGGGGTTGGCGTGTAGCATACAGCATAGAGCTTTTCGGTAGCAGGGGGCTGTCCCGCAGCAGTTGTCGGCAGCACAACGGCAGCCGCATGGTGGCGGGGAATGGGTGTGGTTGGGTTGACAGGGAGAAGGCAACCGCACTTATGCAGGGACCGCCCTCTCGGTGTTAGCAGTATCTGCTGGCTGCTGCCTTTCTTGCGACGGACCTCTGACACACGTCGAAAGTCGAAGATGTGACGGAATGGTAACAGGAGACTTAGAAGGAACTGGAACGGGATGGTGCCGCCCACTATCGCGACCTCTAGACTCTCCGCCCAACAGCATGAGGGCACGCCCGGGTTCGGCGGTTCGTCACTCGTCTTACCGGGGTTCAGGCCGTCTCGGATCGAAATACCTAGGACCTAGACAGCAAGCAGCGCCACTACCCCCAATTTCCCAGGCCAGCCATCGGTGCCACTGTGACTGCTGCCACTGGTTCAGAGGTGACATCGAGGTCGAATACCAAGCAACTCGACTATTACTCTCAGGTGTTAGTATCATTTTAAGCAAGTGGCTTCCCTAGTGATTGCCTGATACGGAGCTTGAGTCGGATTCAAAAGGCTTGGCCGTAGGTTAACTGAAGTGCGTAGGTGTTCTGTATCGAAGACACTATGAGTTCTCCTGAAGCATCACCAGAACACATTGGACGTAGGAGTCCGGACTCAAGTAAGTGTCAATCAAGTGCGGTTTAATACAACTGATAAAGAGATGAATTTAAAGCTCAAACGCTTGTGACAGAGATTATCGCTTGCCACCATATCATCGAACTGAATGAAGCCTACTCTAAATTCGCAATGTCTTCTATTTACGCCTGCTTCGCTTTGATCCATTCAAATATATAACTGTAACGGAATCGGAATTATTTGATTGATATTAAAATGTTATTACATATTTAATAAAATGCGCTGCTTAGATTAGAGGATGATTGTAGCACTGGAGCTGTTCTTTTCAAGTTCCCACAATTTAAACTTTCGAAACTCGGATACCACACTTCCATTGGCACATACAATTGATTCGGAGTTCTATCGCGTATAGTACGCGCAGATTTTGATTTATAATTGACAAATTAATGACACTCTTTAAGATTAAGTGAGGCTAAAAAGCGGACAACGAAGAGCAGTGAAAAACAATTTACATCGTACAGCCAGCCACTTGTAGGTATATAGCTTACACGTCAAAGGCTCACAGCGGGCTGAAACGAAGCCTAGAATGTTCTGTTACCTAAGATGAATTTCTAGTCTTGCTGACAAGTGAAACGCGAACTATTCCTTGTAGATTCTTGCATCTTTTTTTTTTTTCTAAATCATAGAGTGTACATCTAGGTACTTCCGCTACCTAGTTGTTTACCTTAAGATGTACCCCTGCGTCAGAAAAACACGTTTAGAAAAATTGTTCGTTATTTTGATTTCGAAAAGAAGTCCTACCATTCATACGCTTTAAAAAATGGCCTACATATATATATATATATACCATTGAACTTGTTACTTATCTAATTCATAACTTCTAACAAACGTATCTTTGAGAATATATACATATATGTGTCTGTTCGACAGAACTAGTAATAAGCATTAGCGTGAACAAAAAAATGATAAGTTAGCAATGTGTTTCTCACTAAAACATCCATGAACATAAAAGAAAATTTATTAGTGCGAAGGGCTGACTTTGGATTCATATCAATGTCATCTGAATCATCAAATTGTCTCTTTTTCTATAAGATGACACAATATTATTGGTTGTGATGGTTGCCTATCAACGTCAAAGCGTCCGATAGGCTATATTCAAACATGCTGATGCTTATTTCAGAGATCTTTAACGTGAAAGGAAGTAAATTGCGTAGCACGTACTCCGTTATAACTACTACCTGAATACATCAATCACAGGCGTATGTCCCTCCTGTCGAGATGACTCTCCTGGCCTAACACTATATATTAGCATAGTGATGTGCTTATTTTAGTATATCAATGAATGGTGTAAAATGTTTATGTACGTGCTTCAGTTAGTGATGTGCTGCGGATCCTTAATTCTCCCCTCATCTGCAATAAATATCTGCTGCTAAACAGCATTTCAGAAGTCGGACGTACATGCCAAGCTGATAATTCAACACGTGTACATCACGAGATAGGAAGCTGGGTCTAGATAGTTGAGTAAGTGTCTACAGCAAAAATCACTTGAACGGCATCGTTAACCGTCTTTCAAAAACTGCTACTGATTGAAATATTTACCCGAAGAGTCACCACCGAAGCCCAACTCTTGAAAACAAAGTAGAGTCATCGAATTGGTTAAAATGGTTATTTGGTCTCAGCGATTATTCGGCTAAGCGCAGATTTGTGGCCGTGTCCTGAAACATGCTGAACCTATTATCTAGGTGAAACATTAAGACAGACCCAGCAGCAAACCTGACAACTACATGTTATCTCTTCATTCATGGAACAGTAGCCATATGTGGACGAACATTGTCTAACTGTTAAAGTGAAGGACCCTCTGGGCATATTACAAAAAAACTCATAAACTCGAGGTGTCCCTCGTCGGAAATCTCATATAGTTGTGTACTAGACGCCACAGCACACAAGTTGTACCAGCTCTAGAGTCCAACTGCAAATAAAGAATAGCGTAAATAGTATGCAGGATATATAGTGCAAGAAATCTAGTACTAGCGACTTGTTTTGAACTGGCGATCCTGCGATACCTTGAGCTAGTACCAGGTTTTTCATATTTTCATTCAAAATTAAAAATATTTAGTCCTCAGTTATTACCATTGTCTCTTTATTACTAGCCTCCATAAGTTCTATAGAGAAAAAGAAAAGTATCTTAAAAGATCCTGCGGGTAAAAGGTGTCTTGATAGCCCGAAAACCTGATTATTTTCGAATCCTATAAAAAAATATAGGAAAACAGTAATCCGTGATTAATTCTTTTCTGGCTGCCTGCCTTCACGATGATTTAATTAAGCTCGTTATTTCTAACCTTTGCCGTCCAAGGAGATAGCAAATGTTCACAAAAGTGACAAAATAATGCAGTAATTAACTTCGGAAATAACTAATATAAATAACAGACAAGAAACTTGTTCGAAAGATGTATTGGAAGCATTACAAACGCTATCGTAAAGACTATCGTTGGCTGACTTGGCCCACGTATAACGCTATATACATGCAAAATGGGAACAGATGCTACCTTTCTTTATTGCAACTTCGTTGTTGAAGTCGAGGGTGCTTGTAATAGAAAGCTTACTTTGGCGTGGGTGGCTTGGGGACATCCGTGAATGGAATGGATTGAAGATGCCTAGACTTCACCAGAGGATGTTACGACCAGGCTTAGTCCTGAAAAGACACCTGAGCCCCAAACATCTGAACCGATTTTAGAAGTAGAACAGCCTATTTTGATTAGAGCTTTTTAGAGCCGCAGCTTGTGTTCTGCTTGGGCAATTTCTATCTTGACGTCGGAATTTTCTTCATTAGAGGAAGCATAGTTATATCATTTTATCGGATTTTTATGGCACCTTTGTTCGAACATTACGCTAAAATTACGTTCAGGCCATGCTACGGCGTAAATATGAGCCCACGCTTGAAATGATACGCTTGATTGAGGATCGGAAGTGCTTGTTAGCGGCACTGCAATAAACATGGAACTTGAAATTGTGTTTGCTCTAGTTCGCACAAAAAATTGGGAAACAAGATGTAATATATCTTGTTTCCCAATTTTAAAAATGTAATATATTTTTAGAAAAGCTCAAAAAGCAAACGCAATATTAGAACGCTCGATGCTTTTACGCATCATTTTTACGTACCCTAACAAATCAAAGGTCTATATGGGTCCAATGTAACTCGAAATAGATACACAAAACTCAAAGGTAATGAGGTTTGCTTGAGGTGGGCATCCTACGGTGATGGATGATTTTACGAATGGCGGGCTAAAACCCAACCCTCGTAGACTCGTTTGCTAGCTTTGGACTAATACCGTTATCTGCACCGAAAGGTTGATTCGAAAACACATAACGCAGAATACGTAACAAAGCGTTAGCATATGCAGTATCTGTGCACAAGTTCCCGCTGCTGACTGCGCTCGACTTCGTTGGCCTCTAAACAGTCGACAGTGAACTTAATCAACAGCCGCTTGTGTCGTATGAACCATCGTCAATTCTTGCTAACGTTAATGCTATAAATTTCAAAATTTCCGAAGGAATCTTCACATATTTCACGCTTTTCTTTGCATAATTGTATATATGCCAAACAAAGGCATTTAATAAACAGTGAATATTATTAAATAAAGTGCGCTTAACGCTCAAAGACTGTATATTCCATGAATTACCAATCTATGGAAAAATTGAGAACGCTCTTTCCTTAATAGCGGCGTGTTTGAGTTGCATTACTAGTTAATTGAACAATATTAGATATTACCCTGCTAGAGTTTATTTAACTGTTTATTTAATACACAGCCCAGTTCGAGTTTTTGTTAGTGGGACAGATCTAGACAAAAGAGATAATTATACACATGGATATTTTAGGGAAAGGCCAATAACTAGCAAGTCCCTAGGTTACGTGTTTACAATCGCATGAGTATCTCGCTTGTCAACTAAAAGGTCGCTAACTAACTAAAAGGTACAGCTCGCTACAACTTAATCGAACATGCTGTGTTAGATCCGTAATGGATAGATAGAAATAGAGCTATCTTTGTAAATTTGCAACCAAAGCTTTCCATCAGCAGCGTTGTTACGCAGCATTTATTAACAAATCATCATAACAGATTGATTGTTAGGATGAAAATATTATCTGATTTTTACCTAAGTTCCAAGTGTAGTGTTTAGTGCCATTGATATGTCAAACTGACCTTGTATATTTACCGAGATAGCACTTGCCAAGGAAGCGGGCATTTTAACTTGAAGAAACGACGAGGCAGCACTCCATTTGCCGCAATATGGTCGTCTCAAATGCACTGCTCTGTGTTTAAGAAGATGTTATTTTCACTAACACCTTGCTACAGAGTGCTACGCTTCCTTTTCTGTATATCATGCACGTGCCGTAGCTGAACGCATTGAAGCTTCACACCACCTTATGCATAGGTGATTCTCTCTTGGACCCTTTTCAGTAGTAAATCCACTTAGCTGCTACTTAGGGCCTATAAGCAGCCATGTCCGTTATGCGTACATAAACGTTTTGCAAAATTAATTCAGTCAAAGTCAACTGAAATAGGGAAAAATAAATGTATCGTTTTTAAGTCTTCCAAAATTAAGCTCAATCATGTAGAGCCTTGCATTCTCGAGCCGTAAATTACAAACTGTGATAATCAATACCAGTATGCCTAACATGTGCAATACTAAGGTCGTATTACGAACGATAATAGTTACCGTTGCCTTCTAAATAATTCTCAACTAGGGCAATCGCCGTGATGAAGGCGAAGATTTCTAAAATCTTCGAAAGCTTTTTTATATAAATTTTACAAAAAATTGCCAGAATAATCGAATCAAATACACTTTCTATAATCATGTGTAGAGCCAGTCATGTTGACTTTTCGGCTTTTTGGCGGCACCATCGGACGCATGTTTTGCGGGAAATAGCGTATTCACCTAACATTTCCCTTATTAACTCATGTATTACGAATGCACCGCCTCGCTGAAATCGTATATCGCATAAGGAAAACTCATACAAATTCACAGAATATCTTCTAGGGAGGA